TGTGTGTGTGTGTGTGTGTGTGTGTGTGTGCGCGTGTGTGTATGTGTTTGCATGCATGGACATATGTGCAGGACCGCATGTGTGCACATACAACAGGGCCAAGTTTTTAACTTGATAATACTGTAGCAAACTTATATGATTCAGTACTTTGCTGTGTTTTGCAATTATATTTAAATATTGTCTATTATTTGTGTGTATTAGGTGAACTTAGGTCATCAGTGTTGCTCAGAAGTGCTGTGGCCCAATGAGACACTGAGGGCCTATACTTTTTGTTAATACTTAATGTTATTTTGAAGAAACAATCATGTTCTTGACTGTACCTGAGCCATCTTGCTTTCTTAGGTCTTTAGTTTTGATACAGCCCTAGGAAGAACTCTGTCCTTTGGCTTTGAACCAGCCCATAATGTCACCTCCAAGCAACCACAGACACACAATGTACAAAAGACATCCAGCATAGATTTGGAGTAGCTCAGTTTAGCCTCGTGGATCCACTATGGAGTTCTGGAATCATTTGGTAATTGCTTTTTGTCTTTAAACAGTACCTCTGCTTCAAATAAGCTAAGATAGACCCCTTGGTTTCAATTCAAAATTATCCTATGACTTCTGGACCTTATTGTAAATTGTCATTGGTTTGGATAAACGGCATCACTCTCTCTAGGTTTAAAGTATACCTACCAAATGCTGATGGATTAATTTGATTTTGAGGAGATGACTTTGGGCATTATGAAATCAGAAAACCTCTGCTTCTTCTTGGAGCTTCTTTTAGAATAGCTTGTGGTGATTGGATTCTTGGTCAGACATCATATGGGCAAGCAGTACTGAGGACTCTGTAGAACACACTGTCTAGAACCATGTTTTGACTGACAATTTTGGGTTTCCAAATTTCCTTGTGTTTGAGTCTCATTTTCTTTATTTACCAGAGCATGACTCATTTCTAATTATGAAGTAATTCCACTGCAAAAAAACCTACCATCTGAAAGAACGTTTCACCAAATCTGAGCCTTGGCCATTGCGTAGTGAAATAAGTCATTAAGAGACTCTGGAAACAATAGCCAGAGCGGGACCGCGTATTTCTCTCTCCTGAGGGTACATCACTAAAAATAGTGATCATTTTCCTGGCCATTCCATCTGACCTGCTGCTGTGTGAAGAAATCTTGAAGTCATTTCTCAGCCTTATTTTACCCCCTCTTCACTTGATAGGAAAAAAAAAACCCACAAATGCAAGGACGAGCAGGCTTTTATGATAATGTCGTCATCGGCTCCCAGCTTCAAACGCTTCTGTGGCTTTTGAGTTGTCATTTATAACTTGGAACTGAATCGACCCATAATTCCCCCGGTACACTTAGAGAAATTGATAACAGACTGTGCGCTTCTTTTATGGCTCAGAGGAGGCAACTCCAATCACATCACTATTGGCAGGCAATATTATTTTTTGACATGGTTGTAAAAGTATAAAGGAGCTTATGGCATTTGTTTAGATGAGGAATGGGCTCTCAAGCAGTGCTGGGGTTTAGGGGACCCGGTTAGTGAAAAGCAGAGGGAGTATGATGTTTGCAAACAGGATATGATTTTATATAAGTTTGGGTTTCATGCTCCGTTCCCTGGGGAAAGGCCTGCAGACAGCAGAGAATTCCACTTTTATCCCACAATAGACCAGCCCCCAGTGCCAAGATGCAGAAAAGAACCCTGGTCCCTGGGCAGCCCAGGCCCTTGGTGGGAAGAGCAGGAGCTGGGAAGAGGCAGAGTGAGTCCCTAGACCTTGCGAGGAGCTACAGACTGCATAGGCGGAATCTGGGCCTGGCTCACTCACTGGTCCTGGATGGGCCAGAAAAGGAGGCATTGTGCCCCGGAGCAGTGAGGCTCAGGCCCTGGGAACACCAATCCGGCTTTTATTAGAAACTTTTATTTTTGTCAGTGAACTGTATGATGACACCTCGGTCACACACTTACAGGGATTATGGATGTTTTTATTTTATTTTCTTTTACGTAGGGAAAGGCAGATGGAAGAAAAATGATTGTGTGTGTTGGGTGATTGGGTTGAAGGCTCATTTCAGTCGGTCTGAGGTGTGCTCAGACATTCCCGTTATGCTAATCATACTCACTGTGCAGAATACAGGTTTGGATGAAATATTTTACATTTTTCCTCCTCTCAGAGCTGACGTGTGCTCTTTCCTTTTATACGCAGATTTACATATATGAGTGTTTACATATATATGGCCACAACCATCAGAC